GGGGATCTCAGGGACCCTGCCCGGGGCTCCCAGGGGCTGCCGCCGCGGGTCGGAGCAGGCGCTCTGCGAAGCGCGGCCCTCGCGTCCCGTCTGCCCCGAGGGAGCTCCGGCCCCGGGCAGGGACACTCAGGGCTGCGGCGAGCTGGGGCCGGCCCGGAGACGGGGATCCTCTCCCTTACTGCCGGTGTTCGCAGGAACATCGAGCTCAGTGCACCCGACGTACCGCTGTCCTTGTGTCCTTTGACTCGCCGGGATGGCCCGCTGTCAGCAGCTGCTTACCGCTGTTTGCCCCTCGGCAGGTCACTGAGATATCAAATCGAATTGCGAGTACCAGACGTGTTCTGCTACATTCTGCCGCGTTGCAAAACACGTACTGATGGATTCAGGAAAAGATGCAGTCAGGGGTGTGAAAAAGGGGCCATTTATTTTTAGATGTGCAGTCTGGTGCTTACTCCCTGCTGCAGCAGTAAGTTGGGCAAACATCTGGGTGCCCTTGAGCAGTAGCCCCAAGGGCATGGGCCGAGGGGCAGGGGTGGTCCACTCTCAGGATCACAGCAGGATTGGGAGGGCACCAGTGGAGCCGTGCCCCGTCCCTCATCCCTCTGCAGCACCACATGTGCTGTTCCCAATATGATCCCTCGTGAAGGGTGTCTGTCAGGCCCCCTTGCTGAGCCATGGAGCCAGGATGCATGGCATATGTGGTCCCATGTCCAGCTGCCCACCAGCCAGCCCTCCCACTGGCCACCAGCCATCCTTCCTACTGCCTTCTGACTATCCCTTCAACTGCCCACTGGCCATCCCTCCCAGTGTCCAGCCACAGGCTGCAGTGCTGCTAGCCGTTCCTACCCCTTAATCAGGCCCAAAAGGAGCACACTGCTGTACAGACAGGACAAAACCTGTGCCAGGCCTTAAGTAAGTGACTGTGCTTTCTGTGGGGGTGCCCCTTTTGTAATACAGCTTTAATAAAAAGTGGAGCTGGATCATTTATAAGTGATGTAGAATCATTAGCAGTTAATTCATTGAGCTGAACAGTGGCACACTTTTCCCGGAGAGCTCAGCAGCATTTTGACTTTATAGCCAGAATGTGTTGGCTTCAGAGAGCATGCTTTTTGGAGCCCTTGCATTCACAGACCTTTATGGCAACGGCTCTGGCACAAAGCTGCTCTGATCTCAGGTGCAGAGCACACTGGACAGTATTAGACGAAATGTGAGGATTATATACCAAACTTTATCCGTTGGAGGTCTGGTATCAACTTTGAAGTCTCATCTTGAATTTCATAGAATCCCACAGTGGTGTGGTTTGGAAGGGACCTTAAAGCCCATCTAATTCCACTCCCCTGGTATGGGCAATGACACCTTCCACTATCCCAGGTTGCTCCAAGCCCTGTCCAACCTGGCCTTGAGCACTTCCAGGGATCCAGGGGCAGCCACAGCTTCTCTGGGCACCCTGTGCCAGGGTCTCACCACCCTCACAGGGAACAATTTCTTTCCAATATCCCATCTAACCCTGGCCTCTGTCAGTGAGAAGCCATCCCTTCCTTGTCCTGTCATGTTGTCCAAAATCCCTCTCCAGCTCTCTTGGAGCCCCTTTAGGCACTGGAAAGGGCTCCAATATCTTACCAGAGCATTCTCTCCATAGTGAAAAACCTCAGCTCTCCCAGCCTGTCTCCAGAGCAGAGGTGATTGAGATTAAACATTGCTCTGTGTATCCAGGGTGAACTTCTCAAGTTTTGACTTCTGAGGCTTCTTGTCTTGTCTCTTCCTGACAGGTGTGCAAATCCTGTGAGCTCAGAAATGCATTTTCTGCAGTTCATTCAGCATCAAACTGTTCAAGGAACACTGCTTCTTCTAATGCAGAACTGTAGCCTGGACACCAGGTCTCCTGTCACAGAGTCTCAGGGCTGCTGGCCTGGATTGTGCAGCAAGTGTGCCTAGGATGCATGAGGTGTGGTGCACTGGCAAGCCATGTGCATTGTGGCTCCACTATGCCCCCATGTCCTCTCACCCTTCTCCTACTGGTGAGTGACAGTCCCTGCACAAGGCCTGGGCAAGCTCTGGCTAAATACAGCTGGAACACTTGTTAGACCTGTGTGGACTCAGCAGCATGACTTGTGAATTGGTGCCTTTGTTCTCAAATCATCAAGTGACTCAGTACCAGGGCAATGTCTCAGCATCTCCAGACTGAAAATCTCAGCTGGGACAGGCTGGGTGCCTTGCAGAAGCCTAGAAAATTCCTGAGCAGAGCTGAATAAACTCCATCCACAGACTTCTGTGTCGCAGAGATATCAGACCCTGTCTTTAATTTCCTCACATACCCTTAAAGGTTGATAGTCAAACTGCCCCCATCACGCATATTCAGGACTTTTAAAATTCTGTTAGATGTATCCTGTGAAGCACCATATCTTGTTCTTGTCCCGAGGCCAGCTGGCAAGGTCTGGTCATATCCATGGTATTAAACTCATGAGTTCCAAATAGGGAGGCACATCAGTGCTACCTGCGAGGAATGGTTTTCTGGCCTTGTCCTAGCTTTCCAGCCATGCCCATGGTTTGGGCACATATTGGCTGGTGCAGACCAAATCAGATCTTGGACCAATCTCCACCACTGGATTCTTGGGCTGTTCTGACCCCATTATATCTGCCAGCACAAACCTAGCTAACTACCTAACTAGGGGTAACCTAGGACAATTGTTCTCATGCTTGAAGACAACGTGCAGCCCATATACCCAGAATGTGAAATGCCTGTGTCTGGGACAGCACAAGGGAGCAGTTGTTTGCTGGCTGACAGGGTGCTGCCTGAGCTCGGCCGTTAGCTGAGCAGCTGACCTGACACCAACCGTGGCTGGGGCGGAAAACCAGACAAGGATGGAAAATGCCCCCATGGAAAAGAACCTGGGCGTGCTGGTTGACAGCAGTTAAACATGATCTGGCCAAGAAAGCTCAGAGCATCCTGTCTTGTGTCAGCAGTAGTGTGGCAGCAGGACCAGGGCAGTGATTTCCCCCCTGTGCTGGACACTGCTGAGGCACCTCGAGTCCTGGCTGCTCACAACAAGAAAGACACTGAAGGACAGGAGCGTGTTCAGGGAAGGGAACAGAGCTGGGAAAGGGACTGAAGCACAAGTCTGGTGGGTGGCTGACAATGCTGGTGGAACTCAGACTGGATAAAGGGAGGCTCAGGGGGGACCTTTTCACTCTCTACAACTCCTTGACAGGATGGTGGAGCCAGGTGGGGGTTGGGCTCTGCTTCCAGGTAACAGGTGACAGGACAAGGGGAAGTGGCCTCAAGTTGCGCTAGTGGAGGTTCAGGTTGGGTATTAGGAACAATTTCTTCACTGAAAGAGTGGTTAAGCATTGGACAGGCTGCCCAGGACAGCGGTGGATTCACCACCCCTGGAAGTGTTCATGAAATGACTGGACATGACATTTTGCAATATGGTTTGGGGGGCATGGGGTTATTCGGTCAAACGTTGGAGTTGATGATCTTGGAGGTTTTTTCCAACCACAATGATTCTATAATTTAATCTACAGGAAGCTCACCTCCTGTGCTGACAGTACATACACCCCAGGCAATGGACAAGGCTGGGTCTGCAGCTTTGTTCAGCCTGTTTAGCTGTTGGCTTGTAGATAAACAGTGTGTGCATGCAGACAAGGCTTAGATTCCCTCCCTCTTATAGGTTAGGAATGAACCAATCCCCATGGGCAAAACTCTACAGAGATACACTCTCTGTGGGATGGAGAATATTTGAGTGTATCTTTGAATTGTTTCCAGTTTTCCAGACTCCTTTTCTGAAGGAGAAAAACAGAACCCTGTGGTGTCCTTGTCTCTGGCAATCCCTCTCTCCTAGTGGTGTGTCAAACTTCTGGAGACACACTCAGTCTCAGGGTCTCTCTTAGAACATGTTTTCTGGGCTCTCCTCTCTCTTTTAATTGCCCTTGGCAGACCATAACCCTGAATTTCTCAGAGCAGGAACCACAGCCTTCCTCTGGTTTGATCTGAAGCTGGGTATATTCAGATGTGAATGAATGCACTTAAACAGCTGGACTGCAAAAATCACCTTTTTTTGCAGTCACTCTAACTGAGGTTGTTGTTGGTGTCACGGTTGTCCTTTCTCTTGTTCTCAGGTGCCCCCTGGAACTCTTTTTCTGTATAAATCACAGCACTGACCCTGTAACCCTAGCTGCTACACAGGCAGCTTGTAGAAGGTCACTGACCTATATGTGGGGAGTGAGAACACACAGACAGCAGCTTCACTGTTTTTCATGTGCTCCTGTGTCTAGCTTCCAGACAAAATTTGGATTTGTGTGCAGGACTGTGTGGGATCCCGTTGTGCTCTTAGTGCTGTGAAATCTCAAAGTGGCAATGGTGGAGACCATGGGTCAGTCAGGTTGGCTTTCCATAGAACAGCAATGGCCAAACATTGCTGACAGCTTTGCAGCCAATGGCACTGCACTGCTGGTGATGCCTAAGATTTTTAGCTTTTTATATTTTTCATATATTTGTGGCTATGTAGATTGTTAATCCATGGTTGTAGCTTCTAGTACTTTTCCTATCTTTCTTCCCTACATTTAGGAACAATAAGCTAATCTTATAAACACATTTCTAAAAATACTGTTTAGTCTTATTCCAAGAAGAGAACAGCTACAAGGACGTTCTGTTTTCCAGCCAGAATATGGACCAGGCATAACAAAAGTGGGGCAAGAGAAACTTTTGGACTGCTCCCAGTAGGGCAGGACTCCAGGAATTATTACCTAACTAACTAACCTTTTAATTGGACTGTATATGATAAGTATACTAATCAACTAGCCTTATAAAAATTGTAGCATTACTACAGCACAATAATTTTTGCTATATCGTGTACCTGAAAGCTTTCAAGTAAAGGTTTGCTTATATATTCACTCTTAATGTTGTTGGGAAGATCTATTCTATTTTCCAGGCATTACTGGGACAGCCAGCTCTGCCTTTGGCATTGGCCTTTCCCCATGCCCTGCAGCAAGGAGTCATTCCAGGCAGAGGAGATGGCCAGATTGAGTCGTAGAGTGTGTTTATTCCAAGGTGCCCCATTTTTCTGTCACAATGAGTATATCATTGCTGCATCTGGGCTGCTTCCTACGCAGTTCTGGATGGTGTGCCAGGCATCTGTGGCATGCCCATCCCTGGGGCATCCCCAGAACTCTCACTCGTCATGCACAGAGTGGGCAGCTGCCTGCCAGCCCGTGCTGTGCATGTGTTGCTGCTGGCAGGGCCCAGGCTTCTCCACCTGCTGTGCCACTCCTGGGGACAGCTTCACCAGAGAAGGTGCTCCCTGTAGCCCTAGCCAACGTGCTGCCAATTGGCAGGTGTTGGAGAGGCCCCGTGGTGATGTTCAGGGCTGAGTGCCTGTTCTGAGACATCTTTTGCCTCTTTCCTGTGCCTCGCTGCGGTCCACGCCTGGCTCACCCAGACAGGCCACCATCCCCTGTCAACGTGACTGTGACACAGCTGAAGGCAAACTCTGCCACGGTGTCCTGGGACGTACCAGAAGGAGACGTGGTCATCGGCTATGCCATTCTACAGCAGGTATCCAGGATCTGTCCCCAGGGGATTGGGGACACTGATTACCAGCATGCTCCTATGTCGGTCCTTTTGCCGCAGTCCAGGGCTCCTCTGGCATCTGCCCGAGGACATCACTGCTGCTGAGCAGCCCTTGCCAGGGCTCCCACCTGAGCCATCCATCCTGGTGGGAGGCAGAAGACTGTGGGTGCATTGGGGGTAGTCCCTCCAATGGCTTCCCTGGGATTTCTCTAGGTAAGGATGGTGGGTCAGCCATGACATAACCCTTCTTTGCTTGCCTTGGTCCACTTATGCAGCCCTGGATGATGGTAGCTTCTCCAGGGAGGTGTCTGGCTCTCAGGCCATGCAGGCATGCTGAATAGACAGTGCTGGCCAGTCTGGCCCACCCTGGGGTGGATGGCTGCCTGGGAAGGGAGGAATGAGGGTATAGCCCTGCAGCTGAGGGCCTGTGCCTGGTGCAGCTGGAAGCAGCCTCCCGGGGGTGACAGCTCTTTCCTCTGGCAGAGGCAGGACGGACAGATGCAGCGCTTCATCCGTGAGGTGAACACCACCAACCGTGCCTGTGTGCTGTGGGACCTGGCAGAGGATGCTGACTACATCATCCAGGTGCAGAGCATTGGCCTGTATGGGGAGAGCCAGGCTAGCAAGCGTGTCCACTTCCGCACCCTGAAGGAGACCGACCGCCTGCCTTCCAACAGCTCCAACCAAGGTGAGGCACCTCCTTCCAGCTCCTCCAGGTGCTGCTGCTGGGGCCACACACACCTGAAGGCCTGTACAGCAGATAGGCAGGGATTCAGCAACCAGTGAGGAAGGTGCTGCACTGAGCAACAGGTTGCTGGGGACATACAGGGTGGTACAGGCTGCTGTTGTGTCCACTATGTGTCCACAATAATGTCCCCAAGCCATGGTTTGCAGCCCTTCTATCCCAGGTCTTGGCACCTATTCGGCTAGGCAGACTGGCCAGGACAGCTGCTGGGGCCTGCCCAGCTGCTGCCTGTAGGAAGCCAGTACTGAACAGTTTTTCAGATCTCCCAGCCTGCAAGTTACCAAAGGACGAATGACAGAGCGCCATGGTCTCCTTTACTTCTCGTATCTGTGTTGCCTTGGGGTTGCCTACATGCTGGTCCGTGAGAAAGAATCCAGGAATCCAAGAGAGATTATGTCCATAGAGGGCATGGGAGTCTGTCTTCAGCACTAACCATGAGAGGGGTCTTGAGTATGGCAGGGCAAGCAGATGGCTGACTTTCCTCAGAACTTCTGTGTTAAACTGACCTGACCTGCCCTGGTCGCTGTGTAGAGAGAGACCTTAGCGATTTCTCGCATGCATTGTGCAGTCTCTACATGAACCCAAACAAGCTGTTGGACTACCTCTGTAGCAAGGATGGTTTATCTGACACAGGAAAGCCACAGATAGGATGTCACCCCACACCCTTCCTTGTTTGAGGGAGGTGGGCTTCTTTCCTTTGGAGTTTCTCAAATCCTCCAGTGTTGCTGTAGTGGGAGGGTATCTGCTGCCAGCCCTGCTTGGGGTCTCTTCTCTGCAGGTGACATCACCATGGAAGGGCTGGACAAAGACCGGCAGCTGCAAACAGGCGAGATTATTATCATTGTGGCTGTGCTGCTCATGTGGGCAGGTGAGTGCCACAAGCAGTGTTCTGGCGGGCTGAGGCTCAGGTACAGTCCATGGTTCAAAAAGAGTGTGTGGCTCAAGAGAATGCAGAGGCACACTGGTGAGGGTCTGGCACCCTTTCTAGTAAGTCCATTGAGTCTCTGGAGCCAGTGGGGTAAAAGGAGTAACTGCAGCCACTGCTCAGCAGTAATTGCCTGGAGTATGTTGAAAAGCAGGAGACAGAATGGGACCTGGAATTACAGGGTGGAGCATTCCAACTGACAGTGACGATTGTGTTGCTTGGGCTTTAGATGTCATGACTGGTAACACTACTGCACTAGCTGGCAGAGGCTGTGCCCCAGTTGTGCTAAAGCTATAAAGTGTAATTTGCTCCTCTACGGCACAATTAAAGCCAGTGTAGGCAGCAGGCTGCCCTGGGAGCATGGGAGCCTAGGAGGTAAGGCAGCTCCTGACTGTGGCATGTGGAGCCGCTGTGAATGGGAAGTCATTGATCCCCTGCTCCCTTCCCAGTAAATGTGGATTCTGTAGTTGTATCTTTCAGAAATTTCTCCTTGCCCTGGCCTAGGGCACTGGAAAAAAAATACAAGATGTCTGCTGGTAGTTGACACCTGGCACAGGTCGATGTGTCAGAATGCCAGCTGGGAGGAGTCAGGCCCAGTCTGTGTGTGCCTGTGTGTTATCACACACACACTGGGGTTGAGTGAGTCCAGCATGGTCACACTTGGGGGCATCACTCCAGACTCCTGTGTCCAGGGTTCCCAGGTGTGGGATATGCTGCATGAGATGCATGCTGTGAAAGCATGACAGAGTGACTGACACTACAGCCAGTTTGCACAGACAAAGGCAAAGGCTGGCTTTTGTGACGGTCATGAGCACCAGCTCAGTAACTTTAATGCCTTGCTGGAGACACTCCAAAACCCACGCAGCTGCCCACTGACCTCACTGTCTCTGTTTGAGTGCCTCAGCATCTGCTTTTGGTGAGTGCTGAGCACCTCGTGTGTGGTCCAATGGCCTTAGCCACATCCATGCCTGTCTACCCAAGGAAACTGGCCACATGTGCAGAGGTACCTGGGGTGGTGCAGGCTGATGCAGGTGGGGGTGTGGGTTTACAGCACCCCAAGGAGCCCTGGGCACAACTGCCCTACAGCTGGGATGCTGAGGCAGCCACTGTGAGGGAGTCCTTCATCCAGTCTGTCTTTGGGCAGCGGTGATCGCCCTGTTCTGCAGACAATATGATATCATTAAGGATAACGACTCCAACAACAACAAGGAGAAGACAAAGCCGTCTTCAGAGCATAGCACGCCAGAACGACCAAGTGGAGGGCTGCTGCGGAGCAAGGTGAGTGGGGAGGGCTGGCAGAAGGGATGGCATGTAGCATCTGCTGGGGCTGCAGCCTGGACAGAGTCTGTCTCGCTCCAGAAATGGAAACACCCCGGCTTGTGCTTTCACCCCAAAGACTGAGAGCTTTTAGGGTTCAGTGAGCCCTGGTCTCTGGGGCAGTGTATGTGCCCCATGGGTGATTGCAGGAGAAACACTGGAGAGACAGCAAGATGTAACAGCTGGGATAGCTCTTGCCTTGCAGGGTGGTACCTGACCTCTGACTGTAACAGACCCTTCATTGTGCCCCTCCAAGGCTGCACCTCTCCTGCATTGATGGACAGGTCTGGCTCTTGCCTGTTCACACAGGAGTGGACATGCTAGGCAGCTATTCTCACGGTTCCTGCACTGGTTTGTCACTTTTGCTCACTTTCTGCCTTCACTGCAGCTGGCTCTGGGTCATCACCACACAAGTTTTTCCAGAGCCCCTTCCTCATCCTGATGAAAGTGCTGTGCCAGGCTGTGGATGGCGAGGGAGCAGTACCTTCATCTAGCTGCTCTCTGAGCACCTGACATTTCTCCCTTTGTTACCTTCCAAAGACAGTGATTTGTAGCCCTGATGCTCTAATGGGACCATATGTTAGGCCTTTGCTTGTGTCTCATCTGCTGCCTCTGTCAAGGGTGGGAACTCCCCTCACTGTGCTGCCTGGCTGCCCCACTGATCCCACATCTTGGTTTCCAGTAGATGTCAGGAGCAGAAACTTCTTGATTGGACTTCAAGTCCCCAGTTCCCCTCCTCCAGATTTTTCAGCTTGCTGATTACTTCTTGCCAAAGAGATCCCTCTTGGATCCCTGCTCCAAACTGACCCTGGTCTGCTGGTCTTGATGCCTGCCACAGGCTGAGAGGCTCTGACATCAGGTCTGATCCCAAGGGTGCAGCAAAGCAGGGTCTTAAAGCAGATTTTTCTCTCATAGAAGAAATCTCCCTCGGTCAATATCATCGAGGTGTAAGTGCAACACCAGCTCTACCATTTGGGATCTTGGGTGTCCTGCCAGAGCCAAAGCAGGCCTTGGAAGAAGAGGCAGCACCAGGCGCACAGCCTGGAACTCAGCATGCGACGATCGATCCACATTACCAGAACTCCCGCTTTCCTGAGGGCACCTGTCTGGGGACGTGCACGGAGCCAGCTCCCAAGCCATGCATGCAGAGCATGGCTCTGCCCATCCCACACACCTGGCTCTCCTCCCCTCCCGGTGGAAAGCATGCAGTTGAGGACAGGTGGGGCCACACCAGCGGCTGGGGTGGGAGGGAGCCGAGGGGAGCCGATGGGCCAATGCACTGGCCTGAGGGGAGGCCAAGTCCCTGTGCACCAGCTCGGCCAAAGCCCTGGATGCAGTTGTGGGCACCGGACGCCTGCCCAGCATCGGGGGGCACACCTTGCTCTCAGCTGCCTGTTTGGCCTTGGGGGCTGCTTGCAGAGAGCAGGAGCTGCTCCCCTCAGGGCCCTGGGGCTGAGGGAACAAGGCAGTGCAGGCATTGCCCCGGCTCTGCCAGGAGAGCTGTGGCCGGGAGAGCTGTGGCCGGGTGGCAGGAGGGTTTGTCTGTGGAGCTGGGCCCAGCCAGCACAGGGATGAGTGGATTGCTGCTGGAGAACAGGGCTCCACTGCACCCCGTCATGGCCGTGCAGGGGCTTCAAATTCTCTGTCTACTGCAGAGGACAAAGCCACGAGGGACGATGAGGAGCCGGTGCTGTCCCAGTGCCTGGGCAGCCCGCAGAGCCTGTAGCTGGGGCAGGGAGTGCTGGTGGAAGCCCCCCGGGGCTGGGGGAGTGGGCAGTGTCAGGGCACGGCTGTGGCTGTGCTATGTCCCCAGCAGGGCTCAGTGCTGGCACATTCCGGCTGTTTGAGGGGAGCTGCCAAGCACTTTTTGAGCAGCACAGTGCCTGTGCTGCCTGGAGGAGACAATGTGGTGAGGCCTGCAAGGTCTCAGTTGGAGGGAATGGGGTGAAACAAGGAGGCTCCCTGCTGCCCTGGCTGCTGCTCTTCCTCCATGCTCTGCTCTGCAGCCTGCCACAGACAGGCTCTGCAGCCCTGGACTCAAGCATCACAGGATCCAGTGTCTTCCAGGAATAAATCTCCCAGTAAAAGCACTTTCAGGACTTCTCACTCCAGGTGCTGCTCAGCTCCTGCTGCAGGACTAGGCGGGGAAGGGACAGGATAAGCAACTCCTGTGGCAGGGTCTTTTCAATAAAAGCATCCTGGCTCAAAGGCAGCATCAGAGCTGCAGGTGTCTGTGTGTGTCCATGCATGCATACATGTACAATGCTTGAATGCATGTGTCCTGGCCCATAGGAGATGTGCTGTGCAAGAGCTGGAGGTCCTCCATGGTCACTTCACACCCCTGTGGCCCTCAGGGGTACCTGAGGAGCAACAGCACCATAGCAGTGGGATGCAACTGCTACTGGGCTGTAACCTGGGCTGCAGGGAGCATGGCCACAGCTCCAGAGACACAAACACCTTGTTTTGCCTGCTAGCTCTTTTTAAGGAGGTACATTAGAAAAACTAGAGCTGTCAGGGAAATACAAGAGTTTTAAGGATGTTCTAGTGCCCTGGAAAATATTTAGAAGTTCTGTCTTGAATGTTATAGCAGACATACCTGCTATCATGAGATTTTAGCCAGGCCAGAGGCACACACAAAGAATCAAAGGATCAGACTGTGTAGCAAAGGTGAGGAACTAGAGAAGGTACAAAAACAAAGTCAAAATGCAGAGGTTTTGACCAAATAAAAAAAGGAAAACAAGTCTGACATTAAATGTAAAATCAGGTTGTGTTGTTGAGGAAAAAGCCCTTTCCCTCTGAAAAAAAAACCACCAAAAAAACCAAACCAAAACCAAATCAAACCCAAAGTCACCACTTCTCAGACTATGGCGGTGCAGGAGGGCAGGGAAGTGCAGAGATGAGTGCTGGAAGCTGAGGGCCTGACAACGACCTGCTCACCCTAACAAATTACATGTCATTCTGTACTCCCAGCTGAAGGAGAAAAGACATGAAACCACATTCAATGTGCAAAACCTCAAGTGAAAAATCCGTGCACAGCTCCTGACTGATCCATGGCACCCAAGGTCTCCCCAGAGCCTATGCCACTTGCTGAGAGACTGGCCCTGCCACATCAGCTGCAGCCAATGATCAGTGCTCAGCTGGGCTGTCAGTGCCACGGGCTTAAAGAAGGGCAGCTGTGCAGAGATGTGGCAGGAACCCAGCACTGAGGGGATTGGCCAGAACACAGCTGGCAAAGAATCTTGCCAAAGAAAGCAGACATGCTGCAGCCTCCCCTGGTCCATCTGGGGAAGGAACTCAAGTGCATGGATTGCCTCTGTAGAGCACAGCTGGGGTGCAGCAGGACAGAGACACTTCAGAGCAGCTGGCACACAAGGGCTTGTGTCTGCCCCGGCCTCAGTGTGGTTAGCACCAGCTCCTGTCAGTGCAGGTGACATTCACAGGTGCTCAAGACACCAGTACAGCACAGCCTGAACCTGCTCCTCCCAAGTCACAAAGGCACCCTGGGCCCTGGCAGCCCTCAGTACAAGGAGGAATTGCTCCCTCGGGGCTCACAGCCAAGGAAGATGTGGGAGTTCCAGGCCCCATGAGCTTGGGGCACAACAGGCAGTGCAGGAGACACAGTACCCTGCAGGCTTATGCATGGCACCCATCCAGCACTCAAACCCAAATGACAACAGTAAAAAACTCGGTTTATTTCTCTATAAAGGCAGAGTTTTCCTTTAAAAACCAGGCCATTTCACTTGTGAGAGGGTATGGGACTGAACTGCAGGGGCAAGGCCTTCATCGCATACCGCTCCAGGCCAAGAGCTGTTGCTCCCTGAGGTGTACATTGCCTGCATCAGTCAGGCTCAGAGCACGCAGGGTGGTCCTGCATGGCCTGGCAGTGAGCAGAGCGAGGAGCACGGGACCCCCAGCGCAGGCTGGGAGCAGCTGCAGCTCGAGGCGGTTCATGCAGGTGGCACAGGACAAGGAGCAGGTGTTGCAGCCTGTGCACTTCACGGCAGCAGTGCCAGCAGCCCCCGTGCCAGGAGGGCAGTGCCAGGGCAGCAGCAGGCACCGGCTGGCCCAGGTGCAGGCACAGGGTGAATCCTGAGTGGTTGTTCCATTGTTGCAGAGATTTGGCTTAGCCCAGGGGAGTCTTGGGGCCAGCAGTCCTGGGGGCAGTGCTGGGGGAGTCTCCAACCCCTCCTAGCACCATCCAGCTGTCCGGGGGTGGCCCCAGGCGGTAGCACAGTAGCTGTGCTGTAGGAGAGCTTGATGGGGGCACAAGAGGTATTAGTTCTGGAAAGTGAGAGAAAGGAAGATATGGGTCATAAGGTGTATGGCTGGGAGCCCAGCACAGCCTGCGAGGGGAAGCAGACATTCCGAGGTGTGCATCAGCCTCCCCTTGCCTTACAGAGGACATGTTGGAGGATGAGCCAATGCAGCACTGAATAAACTTACCTGCTGGGCTGTGGGCTCCCCTCCCCAGCTCCTCCATGCTGCTTTGGAAGAGAACACAGCATCCATCATACCCCAAGCATGGCCTCCTGAGAGACACAGCATGCTCATGACCCTGACATGGCAGGAATGGCACAGCAGCAGCAGGCGCTGGGAGTGCAGAAGGCCCTAAGCCCCCTTGCTACCAAACTCTCTTCCCAGGCCAGCCTGTCCCCAGATTGCAAAGCTGTATCTCCTTCCCGTCAGGAGCCCTATATCCAAAGGGGTGGTGTTCATTGGGCTACAGGTACAGCTCCAGCCTGTGCACACACTTGTTCCCAGGTGACACTGGCTCAACCCAAGCTCAGAACCCAGCTGGGTGCTCGCTGCCATGTACATGGAGAACAGCCATGATGGAATGGGCCTCAAAGGCCCACCACCTGCGCTTCTGCAGATCCGCAGGTTGATCCTCTGCTGCTGGACCGTTCCATCAGCTCCTCCCCAGCACAGGACATACACCATCAAGCTCAGCCCACAGCCCCAGTCCACGCAGAAGTCAGCATGATCAGGCTTCCATCCTGGCCCAGCTGCCAGAGAAATCAGTGGGAGAAGAGGGACAACTGAGTCCCATGTGAGAGGCATGTCTGGACAGGGTGGCCTCAGCAAAGACTGGCAGAAACAAAGAAACATCTCTAGGTGCATCCTGGGCATCTGTCCCCCGTATCTCTGCTGCAAAAGCCGGACTGCATGCTCTGCTCCTCCACCACTCAACCCTCTGTTCACTTGAGCTCTCAGCTGATAGAAGCAGACAAAGACCAGGAAGCTTCCCCCTTGGTTCCATACAGCTCTCCTCCATGATCTCACCATGCCCATGACCCAAGCAGCTCCCCTTGCATGAGGCACAGAGAAGGAAACAAGACAGGGTTCATCAGAGAGATCTCTGAATACATGCAGCAGCTCACCACCTACCCAGATAAGGTTTCACTGGCATTATCATCTTCCTCCTCCTCCTCCTCCTCCTCCTGGCAAGCAAACAAACAAAACCCCACCATGACATCTCACTGCATGGGCAGGTCTCTGCCAGGAGCGAGACTGGGCTGCTCAGACCCCGTCTGGCCCCTTCACAAGACAGTCACTCCCCAGGCACAGTACAAAGGTTTCCAAACAAGCAGTGGGGGAAAGGCTAGAGTGCTGGGCTGCCAGAACCCTCTGGGCTTAGGCACACAGGCCATAGCTCGACCCATGTCCCCTGCAGGTGCAAAGCTTCAAACATAAGCTGTGAGAATGGACCATGCGGACAGAGCTGCTGACACAGTACACCTCTGCCCCGGGACACCCTGCAGCTGGAAGGGCAGACAGAGACTACCAGGAGCAGGCTGCACACAGGTACAACCCCAGGCACTGCCAGGCTGGACTCACACTGGAAGCATGAGGCCAAGGACCAAGCATCCAGAAGCTCCCAGACAGGGACATAGTGAGACCAGTATGACAGTGCTCCACTTGCTGTGGCCAGGAGGTGCAGTGCAGATGGGCTGGGCTGAGCCTTAGCCCAGGCTGGCAGGATGATGATGCAAGGGTCCTCTCCTTCAGAGGCAGCTCTCACCCCAGGCATGACACCAGGTGTACAGCCCAGGGCCCAGGTTCCTGTGTGACAGGGCCAGCAGAGCATGGCTGAGGCTGCAGCAGCACTGGGGCTGACAGCAGAGCTCCTGGAGCACAGACACCAAGGAACTGCACCTGCTGTGTGAGCCACACAGCACGGGGCACCTTCTCACATCAGGCTGCCATGTGCAATGTGGGCTGTGCAGGTGTCACCTGGGTTCTGAGAGGGCAGGAGCAGGGAGCTGCAGAGGGGTCACTCTGTCCCTGCCCTAATTCCAGACAGCCCTGGGCATGGGCCTGACTTGCTCATACTGTACCCCAAACTGGTGTGTGAAGGGAGTGCTCCCTGGGGAGGCTGGCTCACGGGGTCTGCCGGGCTCACTGCTCTCCAAGACACATGAAGGGTGAAGGGGCTGATCCTGCCTAGAGCCTGGGACAGGGCAAAAGCAGCAGAGTTAGTGCCTGCAACCTGCAGAAAGCCCAGCTGGGAACGTACAGGCAAGACTGTGGGTGAGGAACAGTGAAACCCTGCTATGCTGGCAGGAGGATGCAAACGTGGGTGAAGGGTCAGTGCTCACAGCAGGTACCACCAGGCCTTGAGCTGGGCTACAGCTCAGGCAATGCATAGCAGTTCAGCATATAGCAGGTACACCTCCCACCCCAGCCAGAGATGGGGGAGTGGCGGAGAACACAACCATGAGGACAACACTCTCCCTGCCTGGTGTGTTTCACCAGCCAGGCAGCAAGCCATCTCCCCTCCACACAGCCCAGGACAGGGTCTCACACCAGAGACACTGATTCCAGGGCTATGCAGAGAGATGCAGCTAAGAAATTCCTCCTACCTGCATGTGCTGCTTCCCAGAGATCCAGTGCCATCTGAAAGGCCTGGGCCACAGTCAGAGTAACAGCCTGGGCCTGTGTACATGAAAGAGAGGGAATGCTTGCTTCCATCCGGGCCCTCAATCCAGGATAACCCCACTGCCATGAAAACTAAGACCCTCCAGCATCCCTTGCTGCATTTCTCTGCAGAACACACAGATGGAAGGCCGGAGCTCAGTTCTGTGTCTGTCTGCCTCTAGGGGCCAGCCACCCCGAAGAGCAGACACTCAGGAGCTGGGACAGGAAATCCCCCTTTGCTCACTCCCCGCCTCTGCAGCACACGAGCACACTTGCTCCAAATCCAGCTGAGGTTCATAGAGGTAATGGCCTTCCCTCGCTGAAGGGAAAGAAAGCAAGCCCTTGCTCCCACCCACACCTCGCAGAGCCAAGAGCAAAAGGCAAGTGCTTACAATCTTCTTCTTGGGTGAGAGGAACGCATGGCACTCCAATGCCCCACTCTCCTGGCTCTGGGCAACGTAAGCAAAGACTTTGTTCTGCAGCTTGTCTGTTGTGCAGTAGGAGATCCTGTGGGCAGAGAAGAGCTGTCAGGACAATCCAGGATCTCGGCACGGGATTTCTGCTGCACTTCCAGCACACAGCAAGCATTGCTGGCAACCTGAGGCTTTCACCTGCCCGAGCTGACCAGGCAGCCCAAACCCCCAGCAAGGGCCAGAGGCTGCCTGGTACCTGCAGTAGTTAAGAGATCACTGTATCCACAGGCACTCCCTCCTGTGCCATCCCAGACAGTCCTGTAGTTTTCTGAAGGCCAGCTCAACCCAGTGTGTGAACTCAAGCATTGGAACAAGAGGAGCACAGAAGGGTGGGTGATTGCCTCCAAGGACAACAGCTGAAGGTCAGGCAGAGAGATGGTCTGACCTGGCATATCAGCTCTGCTGCTGAGACCTACATTTTGCAGCAAAGAATGTCCTGTCTCTGCCTCCCATTTAACCACCAGACTGCACACTTAACTGCCCGCACCCCCAGCACCCACAGCCATCCAACCCAGCCAAAGGACAAGTGGTAGCAGGAGAAATCAACATCAGCTTTCAGAGCAAATGCCTTTAGCCCACCCAAGTAAGCTGCAGTTTCTGGTACTCTGCAGCCAGAAGGGTGGTCCCATGGCAATGGAGACAGACATGCAGTCCTGTCCTAACTCTGGGGCTTTCCAGTCATGAGCCTCAAAATCCTGCTGAATGCCAGAAGAGACAAGCAGGGCACAGGGATATGATGGATGGGCTGATGAACTCAAGGCCACCCAGGACCCTGTCTACACTCAGCCTCAGGCAGTGCTGGGAGCACAGCAGAGAGAGGGCACAGGCCTCAGGAAGCCAAGGAAAGACCTAAGCTTGAAGGTACTACTGACAGAAGGCTCAGCCCTCCCTGGCTGCTCAAATTCCCATCAGTCTTCAGCTGGAACACCCAGCCCACACCCATGACATGCCCACCTGTAGATGGAGATGTTCTCCACCATCTCCTTAGTGTCTGCATCCTGCAGTGAGATGCCCCTTGGAGACACTGTCAGAATCACCTTCTGAAACTTGCGAGCTCCAACCCGTGCCTGGCAGTGGAAAAACACCAGCAATCTCTCTGCAAACCTGGCAAGGGTCTTCACCTCGCCCCGCTGCTGGAAGGAGCCCCGCAGACTCTGTACAGTATCACTCATTTGGATACTTGCTGCAAAGGCTCCTGCTGTAGGGATGGAACAGCAAAGCCTGGCAATCAGGCATGCCCTGCACAGAACACTCTTCAAATCTGTTCACACTGTCACACAGACAGGAAGGAGCAGACCCCACCTCTCCCAGTACTTCACCCTCCTTTCTGTGCTGTGGCAGGTACAGCTCTACTCCCAGCCAGGTTTAGGTGTGGGAGCAGGTGGCTGGGGCTGTCCTGCAGGAAGACAGCTTCCCCACAGCACACAGGCAGACACCAGTAGCCTCTAGCACACCACCCTGCTCTTGGGAGAGGCACAGTCCCTCGCTGGAGTTCAGGGCTAGGACACAGGCACTTCCTGGAGTGCAGGGGCTGGGCTCTGACCCCAGCACACCAGGGCCCCAGGACTGGGTCTCACCGTGGCCACGATCCTGCGGATGGCAGCAGCAGCCATGTCTTCTCCTTTTGGTTTTTCTACCAGTGTCATGCCCAGATACTTGAGGGTGAAGCACATCCCCTCAAGCAGTGGCTCCTGCATATCAGCCCAGCTCTCAGGAAGCTCTGCAAAAACAAAAGCCCTTAGAAGCCATGTGCCAGCAGCCCCACAGCTAGTCCTGCCAGGGCCACTGCACCCATGGCTCCCTGCCCCCAGCAGGACACTCTCTTAGCCCCGTGACACTCTCATAAGAGGAAGAGGAGTGGGCAGTTCACCCTCTAGTCCTGGAAGTCCAAGCTCTGTCAGCACAGACAGCTCCTACATATCTGCACAGGGCTGAGGATGCTGCAGCCCTCATTGTTGTCTGCAGAAACCTTGGGTTCCTGGGTCTCATCTGCTCATCTCTTTCATTACAAACAAAATATTCTCTGTAGTGCATTCATCTCAGCTACCTGAGCTGCTGGCACACCTCAAGAGCAGCAGCATTCACTGCCACGGTCAGCTCAAATTTTCCAGACTGGCCCAGTGTAAGCAAAGCCAAACCTCTTGGATCTCATCTGCAGCAGCAGGCTGCCAGGGCAGGGGCAGCTTTGTCAGCACTTGTGATCCAAGCTGAAGTGACTGGGAAGCAACTGGACCACTGAGATGCTTTGTTAAGAAAGAGATGGGAATTGCCAAGGTATGTACTGCTCACACTAAGCTAATACTTTTCAGGGTTATTTTCACCTCTTCCCTGGGATTTGCTCCCTGAGCATTACTGGCACACTTGCAGAAGGGTCCAACTCATAATTGGAATAATCTGAGCCCACAGGGAAATCAGGAAACCTTATTTGCACAGCATACTCTTGCACAAGTGACAACTATCAGGGAGGCTGCCTGGTGCCATGCAGGTAGCAGTGACCTCCACCCTGGGCAGCAGAACCCTGTGTGACTCTGAACTCTGAGTACAGTCCCTGTATACCAGGGCTGCCAGGGCAAGTGCTGTTGCTCCAGCAAAGCCTTGGGCAGCTGAGAACAGCCAGTCGTGGCCCTCCTGTGCCACAGGGTGTCTGCAAGGTCATGAAGTCATGGAGTGGTTTGGGTGGGAAAGGACCTTAAAGCTCATCCAGTTTCACTCCCACAGGCAGGGACACCTTCCACTAGACCAGGCTGCTCCAAGCCCCGTCCAGCCTAGCCTTGAACATCTCCAGGAGTGCGTCCAGGGTCGGTCTGAGATCCTGCCGGGCCGCAGACAGCACGGGCTGGTCTGGCACACTCGCAGAGGACCAGGCGCGGCAGCCCGAGGGGCCCGAGGCCCGCGGAGGCCGGGGAGGTCCCTGGTGCAGTGCAGCGTGTTCCAGCCTCGATTGACAAGCGGGGCAGGAGGCGACAGCCCGGGCAGCGGAGCAGGGAGGGCTCGGCGAGAAGCTGCAGCGCTACGGTGCCCCGCGGCCGGCAGTACCCCGGCCCCTTCGGCCCGACCCCCTCATCTCCCCTCACCCAGCTACCCCTACGGCCGCTCCCGCCCCCTCAGTCCTGCAGGCCCCTCAGACTGCCCGGCAGCAGGCAGCGGCAGGATTCCGAGCCCGACTGCGCCGAGCTGCGCGCTCCCCGCCCGGAGCCGTGCCCGACCCCCACCCTCGCACCCGTCCGCACTCACTGCGCCGCCGGCGGAGACCCAGGCCGTGCCGGGCGAGGCGCGGGCTCCGCAGCACGGCACGCCCCGCCGCACGCAGCGCCTCCATAGCGGAGCCGAGCCGAGCCGAGCCGAGCCGAGCCGAGTCGAGTCGAGCCGATCGATCCCTGCCGGTGTACCGGAGGGGGTCGGTCCCCGCGGGATCGACGCACTCGCGTCAGCGCGGCGGAGGCGACGGCGTTGCCGCGGCAGCGGGGGCGGGGCGACGCGGGCCCCGGAGCGGCGGCAGCGGAGCGGGCCCGTGGGACCATCCCGGCCCCGGCCCCGGCCCTGGGCCCGGCTTAGGGCGCGATGCATTTGCGGCACGTGCGGACCCTGCTGGCCCCGCAGGTCGGGCCGGGCCGGGCTTTGGGGGGATCGGGGCGCGGGGAAGCGGGCCGGGCCAGGCCGGGCTGGGGAGAGCGGCCCTGACCGGCCTGGGACGCGTAGCGGCGACGCTGAGGTTGTGGTGTGACTGCTGAGCTGTGTGTGCCCGCCGGGGCTTGTTGTGTGCCCGCTGAGCTGTGTGTGCCCGCAGGACGGGACGGCGCGGGTGACCTGCATGGCCTGGTCCGCCAGTAGTGCCCGCTTCGCTGTGTGCACCGCGGAGCGCGTGGTGCTGCTCTACGACGAGCAGGGCGAGCGGCGTGACAAGTTCTCCACCAAACCGGCAGACGCCAAGGTGAGCCGAGGCACGGGCATGGGCCGGGCAGCGCTGGGACACCCCAGCGTCCCATGGTCACACCGACCCTCTCCGCAGTACGGCAGGAAGAGCTACGTGGTCAAAGGCATGGCCTTCTCCCCGGATTCCACCAAACTGGCCATCGGGCAGACGGACAACGTTGTCTACGTGTACAGGATCGGCGAGGAGTGGTGAGTGCGCGCTGGGGTCCAGCATGCTCCATTCCGCCCTGCCATGGGCTCCCTTAGCCTGATCCTTGCCCTGGCACACATGGCAGTGCCCATCACCTGGCCTGCAGGAAGTCACACAGGTGTCTGTGGGGAGCGGCAGGTGAGGTTTTCTCCGCAGGGCCCTTATGGAGCCCGGGCTGTGCATGCAGCTAGCTGGAGCCTGTGTTTCCATCCTCCAGTTGTGGAGCCATGGCACACACCTGCCCCGCTACAGCCTCATTTGTTGGCAGGAGTTGTGCTAATGGCACGAAGAAAGGCAGTTCACCAGAATTTTGGAAGCTCAGAAGCTGGGGGTATTTTTGATTTTTTTTGCCTAAAATTGTGATAGACTAGCAGCATGCAAAACTTCGAGGGGTCTTTGTTTGGCAAAACCAACTAGACTAGATAATAACCAGTAAGGTGACCAGAATCTGTAGTGTTGCTGGTAGTAATTTTTGTTTATATTTTTCTGCAGGGGTGACAAGAAGGTGATATGCAACAAGTTCATCCAAACGGTGAGACTCAGATTTTTGTTTGACACCATTTTCTCCGAGATATGTAGGAAAAGACAATGAGAGGTCTGCTCATACTCACAGGTGTACTTGGCCAAACTGTACTTGACCTTTAAAGATCCTAAGAGAATCTCTAAATTCTGAGGCACGTATTGCCCATCAAGCTTCAGAGGTGTCCTAATGCCTCGGTGCAACAGAGTAAATTGTTGAACGATCAATGCAATCACTTACAAAACTTTGGGGACTACTTTAGGCATCAGTGGACAGACTTAGGAGTTAAGGAGTTAAGGGAGTTGAAAGGGAAAACTATGACACACTTAGAGCCCAACTATTTTTCACATGTTTGCAGCTCTAAACTCCAAGGTGCCTTATTAAAAAGTAAAGTGTGCAGAATTCAAACTGAAATTTCCACATGCTCAATTGCCTCAGGTTTGTGATTTCTGTCAGGTTTGCTTCTTGGCTACCTTTGTGTTCTGCTTCTCTGGCTCTGCCAGCCTGTGTCAGAGAGCATTCTGCCCAGTAGGTATTTGCTAAGGCTTGCCCTGAGATTTGTCTGGCAAAGGCAAAAGTGTTATGAATTCCTTGCACAGAAAGCCATCAGAATGAGAAAATACAGTGCACTCACTACTTCCACCTTCAGAGGCAAATGTCCAGCAGATGCCCCAGGCTTTTCAGGCAACTGCCATCACCCCGTATTCTCTGTGTCACCAAGAAAGTTCTCTGCAGGGTAGGAGGAATCATCCTTCATGTCCAAATACCCAGAAGACATAGACAGAGCAGCTTCTGATGGAGTTGCTGGAGTCTTTGTGCCAGGCTTTCTCAGGTGAAGGGCAGCCTCAGCCTCTGGATTGACAGTGTGCATCTCAGAGCTGAGCCATGGCCTAGCACTGTGAGTGCTCTGACTGCTCCAGGGAGCCCAGGGAATTCTGTGTCTCTGGCTATAGGAAAGCTGCTGGTCAGCCCCAGTTTCTCTGTAGTTGAGCTGCTGCACTGAGTGGTCATGAGAATAGAGTGTCATGAGGAAAAGAGAGCGACAGGAGCTTCGTGTCCATTTGTTCCTTTCCTGAACAGGGTGGCTGTCCCAGGTGTGGGCACTTTTAGCCTTCCTGGAGAGCTCTTTCTTGTGTACTGCTTGCTGCCTGCCCCTCCAGTTGCCAGCCCGGGGGCCTGCTCACCTCTCACAAGCTTAGATGCTGTGCATGGCACATGTACAGATTTTTGTATTTTTAATGTAGAAATCAGTAATTTTTTCACTCATTCTCTCATTTCCCCATGCCTTTTCTACCATTTGTAACACAATAAATCCTTTCTTTTCTCTGGTGCTATATGTCTAGGGTTTTACCACTGTGTCTGGCTTTCTCCTGTAACTAAATATTGTTATTTACAAATTTTTGAGATGTTCAGTCAATATGAGAGATCATTTATTGATCTCCCTTCCTCTCTCCTGCCGCTGGAACCTCTTACACACACAGTGATGACAGCGTGTGATCACGCTGGCAAGCCAAGCCTCTTGTGAGGGCCGGGAGGACAAACAGTGAGCACATCACCACTGTGTGAGGCTCGTTCCCAAGCTGTTGTCTTAGAGTGGAAAACAAGAGTCTGACAGATAATGAGAGAAACACACAAATTCCTGGGAAATGGGTAATGAAAATGGGTCTTGGTCATTGGCTGGCCACTTAAATTATGGACAGTTTGGTTACCTTGAGACATTTTGTTGTCTCATTGTAGCCATGTTTGCTGATATAAATGATCAGAGCAGGGATGGAAAACAAAATGAAGAAATAAGGGTGTAGATGTATCTTAAGCAGTCCCAGATGCTTAAAATGGGACAGAGAGACAGTGAGGCTGATGCTGGTGGCACAGTGCCCACACAAGCCTTCTTACTGACTAGGGTTCTTTAGGATAGATGTGAAGGGCTTTCATAAACTTTCTTGGCTCTCTCTTACAGCTGGGTTTTGTGGTCAGCTTTATTCATTCTGACCTCACCTCAAATTTTGAGAATACCTTTGGTTTGGATTTAATGAGCCTGTTTCTACCTCACCTACTTGGTAGTGTCTAATAACCATCTTACTCATCAATAAAAAAATAAAGACTTTTTTTATTCATCAAATAAAAATTCAACGGACAAGTATTCTCTTAGCTATTACAGAAGTTGTCACAGTGAAATTATATTGTATACTTGTTGCAAAAAACTCTTTAAAACAACCATGATTTTATACATTCGCAAATAGGACGTGACATGCCAAGCACCTGCTCAGTAAGTAATACTCTCAAAAGAGCTCCAAACTGAACACATCTGTATAACTTTGCTGCCCTCCCATAGTCCTCCTGAGCTCAATTACTTTGCCCCAGCTCGCTATTACGTAGTTTAGGTTTCAGCATGGAGTAAGTCCAGTATCTTCAGCTGCTTGTCCAATTTCTTCAGCTTTGTCCAGTGAAGAACACTGGACAAAATATTTGTTTATCCAGTACCTTCAGCTACTGTAAAGCCTGTCCAAATGCCTTGTTTCTCCTGCCTGAGTAATGTCTGTCCATGAACTATTTTAGGTGGCAGTGGGGCAGGAGAAGCTGAGTAGAGTGGAGCTCTTACCTCTCTTTTTACCTCTTCTTTTGCAGAGTGCTGTGACCTGCTTATTGTGGCCAGCAGAGAATGTCATTGTCTTTGGCCTTGCTGAAGGAAAGGTAGAGAAACTTGTTATTTGTGTGACTTTCTTTCCCTGGCTGGGTCTGCCAGGGTCTGCAAGTGGCTGGGCTGAGGGGTAAGAGCCATCACTGGGACTGTGGACTTGAATTTTCTGGTTCCCAGTTAGTCCCTGGAGGTTCTACTGGATCTTTTGGATCTTTCTCCAAACATTTCTAGAACTGTGGAAATGTGACTCCAACTTCTCCACTTCTGTAACATACTGGAAGGCAATGAGCTTCCTGTGATTTCTTTCCCTGGTAGTGAACTGGGAAACCCCTGGGGATGTCACTTACACTGGGGGAGATCCACATTCTACGGACAAAAGCAACACTGATCGTTTTCTCTTTCTCAGGTTCGTTTAGCAAATACAAAGAACAACAAGTCTTCCACCATTTATGGGACAGATTCCTACGTGGTCTCACTAACTTCCAAGTGAGTATGGCATTGCTTTGGCCTGCCCTGCTTTGGCTCCGTCTCACACCTGCTGCTGGCTCGGCATAGCAGGGACCAGTGTGGGAGCTTGCCAGTGTCCTTTTGCTGTCACTAACTTGTCATGATAATAACAAACTGTGCTCTCCAGGAGGAATTCCTTCCTAAAATCTGGTAGCTCTCTGTGCCATATCCTTCAAATACAACTGAGGATGAAAGTCTCTGCGAGCTTACTTATACATTGATGTATTTGAGTCTGTGACTTTATAAGGATTACATTTGTCAGCTTCATTTAACTAATTAACATTATTCATGTTTAAGGGATAAAAAAAGTAAGAACATTGTGCCAGATAAAGCCTTTGATAAAACTGTAATTAGGAAAATAACCATAAAGTGCAATTTAAAATTCTTTTCATTAGTAAGATTTCATTTTAACTAGTTTAGTATTCTTTACCTAGAAATTGAGAAATGTGTCGTGGTCCTAGGAGTGGAATTTTCACTAAGTGCTGTCATTCTGGTGACAGATACATGACTGCTGGATTGCTACAGTGCCCAGAGAATTTG